TGAAAGGTGAAAAAATAAATAGTAAATTTATGGTATAGTCATAGCTATCGATATGCTCTGTCCCTAGTTTTATGCATTGCATAAAATTCAGTGAGAATAAATTAACCTTTCCGGATTGACAACCAAACTTAACAACTGACCAACAGAATAGGACCCAAAAGGCGCGTGTGACCATAGCAACAACATCTATGAGACGGGGCTTAGTGGAAGGGTCCATTGCAATTGTGGGGACACATCACGAAAAGGTAATTGTGTTATTGTAAATGTATGAATATAGAGCAAATTGGGTTAATACATTGGTAGACTAACCAAGACCATGCTGAAACTATTTAATGGTAGTGATGCAAATCATGCAAGTAATCATAGTTTGTAAAATACAATTTTGGAAGTATATATAGATAAATTGTATTTCAGTATATCATCATAGGTATATATTATTTTTAATACTATCGTTTATAATAAATATTCAGAACTTCCGTTAAATAGGCATATAAATACCAGCATAAGAGTATTTTGTATATCATTATCATAAATGGCGTAACCAGGGGTGTTTTTTTTTTACTGTGCTGAGCCCCCACTGTTTTGTTCAAACTTTAACAAAATATTAGTAAATTAATTGAAATAAAGGGCAAAGTAAAACATTAATTTATGGAGTCGTTGACTCTTCTATATGCTCCGTTCTAGTTGTTTGCCTTGCCTAAAGTTCAGTGGGGTAATATTTCTATTCAGCAACCCCATTTTCAAAATCCTGGATACACTACTCTGATCATAGATATAATTTTTGTGAGCACTAATAAGTCCGCAGGTCTTCCTCCAATTAAATACCACTGTTAGGGCCTTTCATAGAAAGGAGGACTGTAATTATTAGAGGTGGTCTTTAATTGGGGCCTTTAATTTTAGATGAGACCTGAATATTATAATAGATATTCAAAACTATTTTAGACCTACAATTGTCATGCAAACATAAATACGAGCTTGAAATACTTATGTATAACTCTTCATTTATATTCAAGCTGTACAAAAATATACAGAATTATTGTCATTCTAGAAAACTTTCAGAATTGTTTTAATAGTTTTCATATTCCTGTCCTACAAACAAAAAATACAACCTAGTCTCTTGGCGTTCTAGTAGACCTACTTATGTACCATAAAATGTCTTTACAGAAGGCATGACCTATGTTTTCAATTGTTTTTCAATTTATATTGCACCTTTTATCGCGTAAAACAGCGCCATATTGAGTGAATCTTGTAGGTCGGTCATTATTTGGGGTATTTATTTAATTTAGCAATACTACACAATTAACTAGTCTGTAAAATTAATTTTGTTATCTGATACAATAGCGGAAATATACTCCTCTCTATCGATACGGTTACCATATTGTTATAATTTTCTATTTTGGTAAATTATATAACCATCAAATATTGTTATAATAAAAAATAATTATCTTTTCGTTGATGGTCCAAAGGTACTTCGGCTGAAGTGCTGGACTAAAATTAACTGTGTTATGATCCACACGTTTAGTTAGAGATATGCAACCGCTGCTGTGGATAGGCCAGAGCATGATGCTATCCTTCGTGGTAAGGAATAAAATGGACCTTTCCGGTGTGTCAACCAGACTTAACAACTGACCAACCAAAACAGGGCCTGGAATAGGCGCGTGTGACCATAGCAACAATATCCATGGGGTGGGGCTTAGCGGAAAGGTCCATTACAAGTGTGGGGACACATCACAAATAGGTTTGAACACATTCATTAATACGTTGTGTAGTTGTAGGGCCTAAATTTATGAATATACAGCAAATTGGGTTAATTTAATAGGTAAACTAACCAAAAAACCATGCTGTATAACTATGACAACATAACATGCTTTTAATGGTAGTGATGCAAAGTGATGCTAGTATTAATCATGGTTTGTTTAATACAATTTTAGAGTTAAGTATGTAATCCTGATGCACTTATAATATATCATTCATTAAACATACTGAATTAGTATATCAAAAGCTCTCAGTTTTGTATTCTTTATTGTATACATAGGTTAAAATCACATGACGAGTATAACGACCGAACATACGGCGGCCTGAGGGTAAATAACAGTCTTATTCCTATTGTTAATTCTTCCCATTATTTTTTTTGAGAAGTTGGGGACAGGATGGGGTGTGGAAGAAATTAACTTTTGTCATACAAAATTTTTAAAAACTCGAATTAAAGAATTCATTTAAATCGATGTACAAAATTATCGACAAATTATACACAGATTGGAAAAAAGGCATATTTTCGTTTATTTAAATTGAATACCACCTAATTTAAAGGTCTATAGTGTGGTAGTTTAAGGGTTCAACGTAGAAAATAGTATAAAAGAAAGTTTTGTTGTAATTAGAAGCATTCATTCAACACATCCAAAACCCGCATAAAAATTCATTTTGGGGAAAATTTTCTAGAGGTTTCTATAGTTTATTTGTATGTTATGTAGAATGTCAGAAAAATGTAGGCTTTCATTTTTTCTAAAATGGCTGTAACATTAGCATATTGGGTATAATTCTTATATTGGTATCAGTGGTGGCTCCAGGACCTGCCCGACGGAGGGACTATGGGC